TCTAATACCAAAGCCAGGTAAAGATACAACCAAAAAAGAAAACTATAGACCCATATCCTTAATGAACATAGATGCAAAAATTCTACACAAGATACCTGCAAACCGCATACAGACACGCATCAAAAAGATCTTCCACCATGATCAAGTCTGCTTTATCCCAGAGGTGCAGGGATGGTTCAATACACGTAAGTCAATAAACGTCATAAAGTATATAAATAGGCTCAAAGACAAAAACCACATGGTATTCTCAATAGATGCAGAGAAGGCCTTTGACAAAATCCAACATGCATTTGTGATCAAAGTCCTAGAAGGAATTGGACTGGAGGGAACATACCTCAACATAATTAAAACCATATATAACAAATCCACAGCCAACATCATTCTAAATGGAGAAAAACTGGAAGCATTCCCATTGAAATCAGGAACCAGACAAGGCTGTCCACTATCTCCACTTCTCTTTAACATAGTACTTGAAACTCTTGCAAGAGCAATAAGACAAGAGAAGGAAATTAAAGGAGTAACAATTGGAAAAGAGGATATCAAATTATCCGTTTTTGCAGATGATATGATATTGTATCTATGAGATGCCAAAAATTCCACCCGAAAACTCCTAGAAATTATTAACACGTTCAGTAAAGTGGCAGGTTACAAAATTAACCTACAAAACTCTGTAGCCTTACTATATATCAATAACAAGCAATCAGAGAAAGAGAACATGGAAACACCCCCATTCACAATAGCTGCAAAAAAAAAATCTTGGAATAAAACTGACCAAAGACATTAAAGAGCTCTACAATGAAAATTTTAAATGTTTAAAGAAAGAAATTGAGGAAGATATCAGATGATGGAAGGACCTCCCGTGATCATGGATTGGAAGAATTAACATTGTGAAAATGACCATTCAACCAAAAGTCATTTATAGATTCAATTAAATGCCAATCAAAATCCCCATGACATTTTTCACAGAATTGGAAAAAACTATAAGATTCATATGGAAGCATAAAAGACCTCGGATAGCCAAAACAACCCTGAGCACCAAGAGCATTGCCAGGGGGATTACTATAACAGATTTTAAGCTGTATTACAGAGCTATAGTCATTAAAAAAACATAGTACTTTCACAAAAATAGACCCATAGACCAATGGAACAAAACTGAAGACCCAAATATGAGTAAATGCAATTTCTGCCACCTGATATTTGACAAAGGAGCCAGGAATATTCATTGGAGGAAAGACAGCATGTTCAGCAAATGGTACTGGCAAAACTGGATGTCCACTTTTAGAAGAATGAAACTAAACCGCTATCTTTCAGCCTGCACAAGTGTCAATTCCAAATGGATCAAAGACCTCAATGTAAAGCCTGAAACTCTGAAACTGTTAAAACAGAACCAAGTCAAGAAGCAACCCAATTAAAAGATATGCTAAGGAGCTGAACAGAGAGTTCTCAAAAGAAGAAGTAAAGATGGCTATGAACCATCTTAAAAGATGTTCAGCATCACTAATAATTAGGGAAATGCAAATTAAAAACACTTTAAGATTTCACCTTACCCCAGTGAGACCAAGAAAAGACCAAGGAAACAAATGATACCAAAGTTGGAGAGGATGTGGGGAAAGAGGAACACTCATCCACTGCCGGTGGGGCTGCAAACTGGTTCAGCCCCTATGGAAATCAGTGTGGAGAACTCTTAAAAAACTAAAAATGAACCTACCATTTGACCCAGTTATACCACTCCTTGGCATATACCCAAAGAACTCATCCTATTACAGAGACACTTGTACATCCATGTTTGTTGCTGCTCTTTTCACAATAGCTAAGAGATGGAAGCAACCTAGGTGTCCCTCAATTGACGAGTGGATAATGAAAATGTGGTTCATATATACGATGGAGTTTTACTCATCAGTAAAGAAAGATGAAATCATGAAATTTGCAGGTAAATGGATGGAACTAGAAACTTATACTACGTGAAGCAACACAATCTCAGAAAAAAAAATCGACATATGTTCTCTGATGAATGAGTATATAACCAGACATAATTACAGGAACAAGGATAATGGAAAGGAAACAGGGAGGGTAAAGGAAAAGAAAGAACCTGAAAGAGAGGAACAGTAGGAAACAGGCCTTAATAAGGGAGATATGGATAAAAATTGGGTTAGTTTTAGGGAGGGGGGAGGGAAGGGTACACAGGAACCTAGGGGATAAAGGGAAAAAAGGAGTTTAAGAGAGGTAGGACCATAGGGAAAGGGTATTATTAAGGGAGAAAGGGGGGAAATGGGGGCACCTTAAGTGGGAAAACCATGATGGAGGGGTGAGAAAATGTTAGAGATAAACAATGCCTAGTTAGTTTTGAAAACCAGAGGGAACCATATTACTCCTACAACCTACTGACAAATTATACATAGCAAATCAAGAAACATATGTCTAGATTAGGTTTATCTGAGAGCAACTGGTCTTTGCCCAAGATTTATCTGCATGACACACCATAATTAAAAGTACCAGACTGGTGGAATTAACCTTCTTGGGTGTTTAACAGATATACTTTGAGGCCTATAATAATTTGGTCAGAGGGACATAAAGGACACTTTTTGTTCCTTGCCCTCCTAGGTCGACTAGTTCCAGGGGACTATGAGCATCTCCCAAAATGTCCTAATATGGTGGTGGATTACCTGTCCTCTTGATCAAGGAGGCCGAGGAGACCCCACCAGATTGACTTGAACCAGTGTTCAGTCTACAAAGAGGAGGGTCAACACAACAACATCAAGAAAACAAACCAATTTAAAAATGAATCTACGTAACTAGAGTTCTCAAAAAAAAAAACCCAAATACAAATAGCTAGTAAATCCATAAAATATGTTCAGCACCCTTAGATGTCAAGGAAATGTAGATTAAAACTGCCTTAAGATTACATATTACCCGATATGATGTTTTTACACTGTTGGTGAGAATGTAAATTAGTGTAGTCACTATGGAAAAATTTCTAGACAGTTCAGAATAAAATAAAAATAAAACTACTATGTGGCCCAGCTATACCAATCCTGGGCATAAACCCAAAGGAATCGACACCCTAATACAACGATACTTGCACATCAATATATATTGCTACCCGATTCACAATAGCTAGAATCAGTCCGGGTGCCCATCAACTGATAAATGAAATATGAATATTTGGTACCTATGTACAATGAAACTTTTTTATTTATTAAGAAGAAAAATTAAATTAGGGGATGTGAAGATAAATATATAAAACTGGTAACACGTACAGCGAGTGAGGAAACCCAGGCCCAGAAAGACAGATGTCACATGTTCTCTCTCATATGGGGATTCTAGCTTATACTCTAGCTTTGTATATTTAATATAGAGTATTTATGTAAGCCATGTAATTAGCAATGGGGATCATAGCGGGGGAACTATAGGGAAGAGAGAATAGAACATAGGCACTATAAAAGTATATAGAGACAATTCCAGTGGTAGAAAGGGTTAAACAGGGAGGAGGTTAAGAGGATGGAGGAGGAAGGGGTGTTAATCAAAACAAAAAGGGAGGTATATAAGGAAGGAGAAACCAAAGGCCTTGGAGCATTAAAATGTACTTTCCAAAGAGCCATAGTTTTTCTGTAATTGAATTAATAAATTATAATTAATACTCATGAGCACATAATAGAACACAATGAAGTTACCAAATGTTTATTCCTAGTTTCACTTAAGTATATGAGTTTTCAATTTAAGTCACCTTCTGTTATAAATCTTTCTACACTAGCTTTGAACTATGTCAATAAGCTATACCTTTTCATACCGAACAGCATTTAGCATTATGTAAATTATCTTACATTGCAAAGACTATACTTCTGCAGAAAATCGTAGAATATTGACTGCAATGTGGAAAATGCTCGTTAACTAGAAGATATGAATATAGGTTAAGAAACAAAGCCAAATTCCCCTACTTTTCACAAGCACAGGTCAGGCTTATGATGCGGACACAAAGATGTGTAGTATGGCAAAGTGTATGCTGAAGGATCTCTGGTGAACTGGTTAAGCTGTAATTACTACTAAAATCTCTGCTGATCTGATGACATAAACCCGAGGACTCTACTTAAATGACTGTACTTAGTTGTCTGATTATCTTTCAACTGGATAACCATGTCATTTGAAAACATAAACTAGCAAAATATTTTCAAAAAAAGTGAATCTCTACTTGGAGACACTTCAAATAATTGTACTTCCCATGGTTTTATCCTAATTTTCTATTTTGGGGTTGTTAAACTGAGCCTTTAATGGTTGAGCTATTCCCCTAGGCTGTATACTAATTTCCTGAAAGATGTATTCAAATGTCATAACTTCCAATTCCATTTTTTTTCATTCAAAATTCTAATGTTTCATTTTGTTAGACTGAACGCTATTTATGGAGGATGATATAACTGACAGAAAACTGGAGTAGAATAAAGAACCTGGGATTTCTCAGTGATTGTTACCATGTACAAGGCCCACTCGTCAATCCTCAGGCATGGGTTTTGTTTTGTGGTTCTGCGGATTTAATGCATAAGTTCATGCATGCTCAGGAAGCACTTCATCAACTCAGTTACACCCTGTCCCCACCAGAAACAAAAACAAATCAAGATAAACTTTGGGAAGTAATCTTGGTTTCCACCACTTAGTTGTGCCCTTGCCATTTACCAATTAGTGACCATTGATAATGTTCCTATTCTCTGAGCTCCCTTGTGGGTTCTGTAAAGACTGTAACTGACACTATGTGTCCTACACTAACACAGGATTGCTGCAAAGATAAAATGAAATGGTATAATTTTAAAAGCCTGGTAAATTGAAAGGCATTAATGTTAGATGTTATTATTCCCAAAACAGAAAACTGAAAGCTTTAGGTAAAAGAAACAAAGCCAATGTATCAAATATAGCATTACAGACAATAACAGATAGATCTCTGAAAAAGTGAGAAAAGAGGCAAAGAAGGTGTTAACATACATAAATAAATCCTATATAACTAATTTCCATACCTGGCATAACAAAATACTTCTACATGTTGAATTGTTTTGTCCCTCCTACTAAGAAGAATGGCTTCTTCATTTTCAAGGATCTGTTCTTGCCATGTTGAACTGTCAGTCACAACATCACTGTTTTCCTAAACAGAACAGGAAGAGTTTTAATTAAATTGAGCAATCTGAACCTACAACTTCATGAGAAAAAAAATGTATCTTGTCAAATTTCATGTTTTTACTTTCATCTCATCAAAATTCAATGACTTCAGAGCAACTGAACTGTCTCTAACAGTGTGCCAACTTCAAAGGCAGAGGAAAATAATGTATAAAATCGGTATCTAAAGCTAGTTTTAGGGGCTGGAAAGATGGTTCTGCAGTTAAGAGCACAGGCTGCTCTTGTAGAGAACCTGCATTCAGTTCCCAGGGCCCACATCGCTGCTAACTCCAGTTCGGGGGGATTCAATGCCCTCTTCTTGTCTCAAAGAGCATTGCATGCATGGGTGTAGTTAAATATACACAGGTAAAACACTCATAAAGATAAAAATAAAATAAAATATATTTTTAAAAAACCCATAAAACTAGCTTTTGTAGCTGGGTGTGGTGCAGGCCTTTAATCCTAGCTCTTGGGAGGCAGAGGCAGGTGGACCTCTGTGAGTTCATTGCCAGTCTGGGCTACATAGTGAATTCCAGACCAGCTGGGGCTATAGGGAGACCCTGTCTCAAAAAGACTAAAAGAGCAAAACTTGCTTTCATACACAGCCTGTATGAGGATATGTTAGACTCTGATAGTGATTTCTCCCTAAGTGCTTTGATATTGCTTAAGAACTAGGACAACTAACCTACTTAATGAGAATTAAATATACAAATAGTACAAATTATTTGTTAATAGTCAAATTTATTTACTTGTATGCTGTTTGTATATTTAGTTGTCAAAATTTCAATGTCAAAATGACTTCACTCTATTTACTTTTAGATATCTGAAGTCTAAGCACTAGTCACAACTCGTTTTAATTATATTTAAAACTATTTTTTTTAAAGTACTCTGCACATATACCTTAAGACTTTTTAACAACTAGTTCCCGGGTGTTTTATATTCAGAAAGATAATGAAAAGAATGCATAATAAAAAAAAAAGAAAACTATTAAGGATTAAAAGTGGTCCTCTAAAATTTTCAGTAATTCTCAAGTACATTTTGTAAAGAAAATTATGTCGCTGTATTTGAATATACTGGACTTTTGAGGAAGGCAAGATATACCATTTCCATATATCAAGGATAAATTTTTCATCTGTTTACAGTTTTAAGCTATTGGATATACATCTTTCTCAGAGAATTTTCTGCAAGTGCACTGACTCATGGAACTAATAGTGAAATACAGCTACATCATCCTTTGTGTTATAATAATTCATCTCAGAAACGTTCTAAACTTTAAACTGCCTTGAGTAAAGCAATAATTATTTTTTAAAAGCTAATGGTTCTGCAATTTGCATCCTGAATTCAAGAAAAGAACAGGCAGGCAGCTCTTGTTATCAGGTGTAATGTTAATATGAAGTATTGTGATGTAAGTAGAACAGGAGGTGAAGTACAAGAACTCAAATGTGTATACACAGGACCATCATCATGAACAAACAAGAGCAGAGCAGAAAAGGGAAGTAAAGGAGAACAGCAGATGGTTACTGAGTCATAATCTTGGAGTTAAACAAGTATTAAAGTACAAAACACTTCTACAAACATATTTGCATTAGATAGATCTAACGTTCCCCAAATCTTTTTAAGATTTTTTTTTCTAGTTATGTGAACATGTGTGTGTCTATATGTGGATATGTGCATTTGAGTAAATGTATGCATGGAGGCCAGAAGAGGGCACCAGGTCCCTTGGAGGTGGAGTCAGAGGTAGTTGTGAACTACCCAACATGGGTGCTAGGAATTGAACTCACGCTCTGTGGAAGAATAGTAAGGACTCTTGGCTGCAGAGTCTTCTGTCCAGTCCATTCTCAAAATTTATGTTTAAAACTCCATTCACCAGCAAAAGTTTTCTATTCACATAATTGTATTTTGTTATTGTTATTTATCTGGGAATACAGATAAACTAATTTCTCATGAAGTTAATGAATATACCTAAATATAAGGTGAGTTTCATGCACATGCAACAAAGGCAAAATTCAAAGCAGAGTTTCTGATCAAAGTAAAAATGAGAATATTCTGGGCATATAGATAAGAAGTCTCCAGTTAAAACTTTTATTCTCTTGACTTATAAGCAATGAGTTTCATTACTGATTGAAAGGTTATTTGTAAACAAGAAAATTTCCATGCTTCTCCGCACTCATTTTTATGCAACAATATTTAAACTACAACATCACTCAGCTTCATCACCAATATTTATGTCATCATGAAAATCTCCATTGATATACTACTCTGTTAGATCAATTATAGTGACTGGCACATTGTAAGTGCTTAATAATTCTTAGTTATCTTGTTCTTAACTATCTGAGTGCAGTTTTCTGGAATACTATTACTCTTTTTTCCCAACATTCTAAGTTAATTTGAAATCAGTTTCTGATTTCTTAAGATATTCTCAGCAGGAATTAAGTTCAAACCACATGTACCCATTTGCATAAATGTTTCATACAAAATGTTAAATTTTGTAACATGACTAAATTTCCATACAACACTGTAAGTCATCTCAAAATATGATGAGTATTCAATAGTTGTAACAATAGGAAATACAATTGCTGAACTTAAATTTTTTTTATCCTTTTCCCCCATTTTATCTGCTTCTATCAGGTAACTAAAATGAACAAACACAACCATCACTGCCAGGTACTATTTAAAATTAATTTTTCTTCTGCAATAATTCATACTTGCTTTCTTTTTGTTAAAAGTACAATAACTGAAAAGGCAACTTTTCAGTAGAAGACCAAGATAGTGTTTGTGAATAAAAAGGGGGAAAAATCTTGCCTTACATTTGGGCATATACAACAATTAGGAAATAGCACCGGGTATATATTATATACTCCACCTAACATACCTAGTTATATATATCAAGAAATCAGAAAAAGGTGACTGCATATTTTGATCAAGTAATTAATGGAAATGGGTATTTATCATATATTATAGACAAAGAAGTATTTCTTTAATGGAGGGACATTATATGACACAAAACACAACTTAGCAAATTAAAATACTAGATAAGAACTTTACCTGGTGTTCCTTTAGCCAGGACAACAGTCCTGAAAAGCTGAAACTGGCCCAATTTCCTCCATAGTAGGTTCTTCTGCAACAATGAAAATAAGAAGGACAGAAAAATTAAATCACTGATCTTCAACTTTATCACTAAGCATCCTTGACTCTTAAACTCAATTTATTTTCTCACATTGCTATCTCAACTGCTCTAAAGCATACACAATTGGGTTGATGACATAAGAGGAAATAGCTAATGTAAAACTGTAACGCTTAGATGCCCCCCCACCCCCCAAAAAATCTTTGTCTGCCTCATAGATTTCTTCAGTGATCATGTGAACACTTTGTCACGGGCACCAAAACGGTACCGTTAATGTATATGAATCCTCGATTCACAAAATAGCTAAGAAAACCTTGAGAAATTTCAGTCATAGAAAAACTGATCTCCTATACCAAAATCTATCTCCCCATTTTCTTTCTCTCTTTCTCAGCGCGCGCACGCACACGCATGCACACACACACACACACACACAAACACACACACACGTGCGCGCACGCAGGCATGCATGCATGCACAGAGAGACTGTATACTCGATATAAAAATTAGAAGTAGAGTCACAGATGTTCATATCAAAAGTTGTGAGAAATGAAATAGAAGCACAATTCCCACAGATAACCAGGTGAGCTGCTATCGTGCATTCTATAATCCTGTGTATATCTCTGTTTTAGAAATAGAGTGTCTCTACGCTGTCATCCCTCCATCACTGAAAACGGTTAAAAGAGAAGGGAGACATGGCCAAATGTGGAGAAGAGGAAAGAAACCAAGAATGTCAGCACTTTATACCTCCTCCCATATGGCTGACAATAATACAATTCTCCTACCAGTTACTACACTTTAAACACAACACCCTAGTAGATCACAAAATACCCTGACTCTTCAGGACAAAAAGTATATATATATATAATTTTTCTATCTGTACACTCTTTTTTGAGAATTTCAAACATGAGTATTCTATTACATTATTTTCAACACTCCCAGTCCCTCTAACTCCTCCCTTGTAGCTCTCCACACACTCAAAATTTCTTGTGCCCCCCTTTCATTGTTATTGTTATGTATATATACATACACTGAAAAAAAAAATATATATATACTGCACTGGGTCCATTTAGTGGTGCTCATGTGTTTAGGGCCACCTATCTGGGATTAGATATTCTCTCAGAGGGTTAGTCCATGGAGAAAGCCGATTCTCCTTCCCTCAGCATTCATGAATTGCCTGTAGCTATATTTTGTTGAGATTTGCAGATTTCTTTTGAACCACTACCAGCTCTTGGATGAAGTAGCACTGGCTAACAGTTGAAAGTTTAAAGGAGCAACATAACTGTTTTTGAATGACTACATCCAAAATCTAGCACTGGCAGTACACAAAGTCTTCTTTGGATGTTTAAAGCAATGAATCATTGATACACTGGACTCTTATCAAAATGAATATTTTCTCCACACAGTATGCTATCTTCTTAAGTAACTGCTGTAGATATAAGCGAGGAGAAAATATTTACAACATATATCTAACAAAAGAGTTATAACAGGGATATGTAAAGAATTATTTCAATTAAAAATAAACATTTAAATTTTAAAACAGTTAAAGGACTCGAACACTTCTTAGAAAGATGATCAGTATCATTAATCATCAGTAACACATTAATATGAGTGAAATGAGAGCTAAGTACAGCACCACACATCTATGGTGCCAAGAATGGAACACTGACGTGGAAGGACTCTCTGAGTGCAGGACTTTTGAGATTAGCCGGTGGAGCACAGGAAGACTCAATCTCCAAAGACCAGAATAATGACTTCCAGCATTGATGACACAGAAGGATTCAAAATAAAGGATTCAAAATACTGGGCACTTGCAGTATGGCCAGGGTATGAGTGTGTATGAGTTTAAGTTCATACACTTTCAAAAAAATATACGTATGGCAGCTTTTTATAAACTAAACAATTACTCCATGATTCAGCAATTCTATTCCTAAGCAATTACAGAAAAGGAAAGCACATGTCCACAAAATACATGGTTTTTTTAATCACAATTAAAGCCCCAAAGTGACAATATCTAAGTATCAATTAACAGGAAAATGGATTAAAGAAGCTGTGGTGTAGTCACAGGTTGTATATATTATTTACCAATGTAAAAGGATAAACTACTGATGCAAACAATAGATTAATCTCAACATTGTTATGCTGAATGAAAGCCTAAACCACAGCGCATGTACTCTATAATTCCATTAAGATGAAGTTCTAGAACAAGATAAATTAATCTATGATGAAAAAAATATCGGAGTGGTTGCCTCCAAAGGTGGGAGTGATACTTTTAGTTCCATAAGTTTACACATTTTTCAAACTTATTTAAATGATACATTTGTTTAAGCTGGGCATGGTGGCGCACGCCTGTAGTCCCAGCACTTGGGAGGCAGAGGCAGGCGGATCTCTGTGAGTTCAAGGCCAGCCTGGTCTACATAGTGAGTTCCAGGACAGCTGGGGCTACAGGGAGACCATGCTTCAAAAAGACAAAAAAAAAAAAAAATCTTAGGCAAATATTAAATTTTAACTAGTATAATGCATGCTGAAACCCGGTGCCATCTTGGGAGAGGAGCCGCAACCAGAGTGCAGCAGCAGGGCTCGAGAACAGAATGGCCCAGCATTTACTGACCTGGGGTGAGCTCAACTGCGGGCCCACGAGGTGTTGGCAAAAGCTAGCGGCGACTAGGGGCGGGTTGCTGGAGTGGTGGGCTTGCAATGTGGAATGGCTGGCTCTGAGTCCTGGTGCAGAGCTGGGAACCTGACATTTGTTTCTTTGTGAGTCACTCCGCCCCCCCCCCAATGGTATAAACTATAATAAATTCACATAAAAGCATTTTATATTGTTTGTCTAATAGCGCAAGAGACCCGGAGAGAACTTGGGCAACAATTCTAGATACAGATGTGTACAACTCATTTGGAAATAAGTAAAACAGTAAGATGGAATGATGGATGGACCCACAGAATGAAAATGTGGCTAATTATGTGATGTATAGCAACTAGCGAAATAATTGCAGAATCTATGCAGTCAACTCATAGGTGCTCACAGTAGTTTTTAAAGTATTCTATATACTTGAATATTATCATAATAAAATATAATATAAAACAAAAGCAATCTGACTTACTGAGCAGTGACCACAATGTGTCACTTTCCAAAGTATTTTCAGCTAATTATCAAAGCCTAAGAAAACTCTAAGAAGCGTCATTTCGATGTTTCTTTCCGTTATTCAGTGACTTCAGGTCAGTTCATGGTCAAAACCTATTTTTCTCCCCTATAGTTGGTCATATGGTTTTCAGTAGAGCTAATTAGTTCTACAATTTTTCCATGCAGCTCCCATTTTCAACTTTTTCTGTTGAGTTGTCCTTAACATTAGCATCTGAAGATTTTACCCAATTATGTACGTAAAAGGTGAAACGTGATTTTCATTACTGTGTTTTTTTTCTGAAAAAGACAGTAAGGTAATTAATAGTAAATGCTTTACAAAACCAGCAGATTTTTACTAAATTCATTTTGCTATCTGTATGGTTTTAACTAGGGTTTATAATATCCTTTAAATAAAAAGACTTTAGGTATCAAAATCAATATGGCCAGAAGAAAAAGTAAAAAAGAAAAATCAATATGACATTCTAATATGATCTCTGGAATACACTGTAATAGAAATGATAAAAATTAAAGCCTCCAAATATTTTCAATTTTTTCTGTAAAGATACAACTTTAGAACTCTGACATTTAAATTCAATTTATATAATACTGTTTCCTTTATATTTTAAACCACTTCTATAGGGAGAATAGGAATAGGTTACCTGGTTTGATTTTTAAAACCTCAGAAACATGATTTACTTTAAAATCAAAGTGAATGAAGAAAAAAAAAACATGGGAAAAAGTACAGGGCATGTTTTCTGTCAATTTTCTGTCAGCACTGCATCTGTACATCAAGGAAAGGAAGGAGCGCTTCATGATGAAGAATGAAGTACATGTCTGCTGCTAGAAACACTGTTTCTGATGAAGAAAAAGACTTCCTTAAAACTAGTCTCTAATGAATTCGATTTGAGAATCCACAGAATTTAAACAGCTAACATAAAACTAATATGGGAAGCCTGCTAATGTTGTTTGATAGCTAAGTATCCTAAAACTTTTAGCAAAGAGAATACAACCACCATAAATGGGAAATTTTTATTTGACAAAAAAATCCTTATATTATAGTTCCCTATTAAGTGAAATGCTGACCTTAAAGCTTTACAAAATATGGTTTTAATTTCTCTAAACTTTCACATAACCTATTTCAAATACCACCTGTTTTTGCAGATGCAATAAAGAAGTGAGTTAAACTACTGCATTCATTAATACCAATAAATAAAACAAGAAAAATATTGAAACAGTGATTCTGTATATTTCCCAGTCTTTCCATAGTGTTTAATTTTAAAGCAATATCACTTTTCTTAATTTGGTGTAATAAAATATATTAAAGATAGAGAGGCTCAGCATTAAACCTATTAGAGTCTCTTAATTAAATCTTAACTATTTTCCTTTCCATGTGGCCTCGTCGTTACAACTCTTTACTGAATATACAGCAGCAATTATGCTACACTACATACTGTACTCTGAAATGGCTTCTAAAAGTAAGTCTAATAACACTGACCAAAGACAGCTCTACTAACATTCAGGCACACTCATTTGGGAATCATTTTAATTATTAAGACTTAGAGTTGAAAAAACACTCAGGCAGATAGGCAATGGGATCTCAATAGCTCAGTCAAGAGAAACAGCATAGCTCAACCTCACTGATTGTCTTCTATCACCCATGATCCTATAATTTCTTTTCCACTGACAGCATTCTTAAATTTGTTTTCAGAAATATTTTCTCACCAATCTCCTGGATTTTAATGAAAATGATATAAATGGTTCTACTTTATAGGTGAGCACGATGAGAACTGCCCATGTAAAGTTAGTTAACTGCCAAGACTACATAGCTCCAAATAGTAGAACTGCTATTCAAACTAAGTTCACCCAAATGCTA